AAAAAACAAACATAAATAATAATAAATAAATAAATAAATTAAATTAAAAAAAAAAAAAAAAACAGAAACAGATTGCCAAGTTTTTATTCTAAGATTCTCCTATTTTCAAACCACAAGAAAGCTAACAAGCCAGAACATATGCATTGAAGAAGCTGTCTGTCCTTCCGCTATATCTTCTTTGTATCCTTACTCTTACTGACCCTTTTTTGCTTATTTCATATGGTTTTGATCTACAGTGAGATATGGGGAGTAAGAACTATGTAGTTTTTGGCTCCTTTAGAATTTCCAAAATAAAAATATTAAATTATAATAAGTAGATTTAAAAATAGAATTTTATATAGCCTTTTATATAGCCTTCAAATTCATTCATGATGAGCTAAGGAACAAGACTGAAAATGCTGTATGAAGAAGTATATATTCTCTTTGTTACACCTTATCCCAAATCACACATAAATCTACCTATGAAGTGTAAAAAAGGTCCCCTTTTCTTTCATTCCTGGTGTTAGTGATGGGAAGTTTAAAGGCTAGGGCTATTTTGGTGAAGTTAGGCTGCAAGTTACCCTCATCTCCTTTAAAGCACAAAATAAATGAAGTTGCTATCAGCTTCTGAGTCGTATACAGACATTTATTTGATTCACACATCTCAGGTAGTCTTCCCTTGTGATGGATGGATTCACGCTCTAAACTTTCTATTATTCTGAGATGGCTCTTGGTGTTGTGCAGCAGGCTACACTTAGAGCATTTATTACCCGAACATGCCTAAAACAAAATACATCCGTCAAGAAAAAGGTGACAGATCTACACCAAAGGATTCCCAGGGTGAGTGTAGGAGAGACTCATCAGTATTCTAACCATATTTGTTATGTTCCTTTAAGAATCTTTCCCTTCTTAAATAACTTTTTTTTCCTAAAACAGGCCAACTTTGTATTTTAAAGGGTATGCTTATTCTGCATTTAACATTATGTCTTCAGATCTTACAAGTATCTGTAAGTAGCAGTTAATTTATACGATAACTTCACAGCAATTCTCATTTTCTAACCTTTCTTACAATGCAGCGACAAGACAGAAATTCAGAAACTAAAGACTATGGAATATATTTTTTTGTTGCTGTACCTTTGCCAATTTTTGGTCTATAAGACATTGAATGCTGAAGTATGTACCTCCTCAGTTAATCCCATTTCTGTTGAGAATTTGTGTAGGAGTTGCATGATCTGGCAGTTATATAATCTGGCAGCTACATTTACAAGTACGTAAGATTCTAAACCCAGTGTGGAAAAAGAAAAAGGTTTTCACTAGTAAGTATAAGGATCATCAGCACCTATTTAGAGGACTCAGCAGTGGTTTGAAATCCCCATAACTAATCAAGAAAAGACTCTCCAGTAAGCTAGAATTCCAATGCTATTCTTAATGGTTTCTTTTATTTCACAAAGTCACCTGCTTCTCTCCATTTCTGATTATTTTTCTTGTTTATTTTTATACCTGTAGCAACATTCTTCATTTTGCATCTATTTTTGTCTGTAAAATGTCAAACCCCAAATTAGTGTCTGTCTTCAGTTATCTCCATCACAGAAGCTCACCTCCTAGATATGCAGCAGAGGAAGGGAAACAACATATTGCGTGACAACCTGGCAACTAGCACTGCTCTCTTCAAAATAAGCTTTTCAAGCTTGCTGTCTTTCCAGGTGAATGCTCAAAGAAGATATAAAAACACATAGTGAAGTGTTATATGAATATTAAAGGGACATAACCTTTGCCTGGCTAATACCATTATTTATTAAACTGGTGACTTTGGCAGACAAATTGATGTCAGGGTTCATGGATTGCCTGGACTGATTTGAATGATCCTCAGAGGCTAACAGAATCAAATGAGTTTCAAACTGTGCTGAAAAAATGAATGTCCAAACATTCAGGCATGCTGTTTCTGCCAGGGAGGATGTTACAAAGAGCTCTAATGTCTTATCAACATGGTAGCTCCCAAGAACATTTTGCTTTTGTTCGTGTAAGTCACCTTCACAGACAAGAACTGGGATATATTAGACAAGCCAGAAAAAGAGATAGGACACTGAGTTTTTGTTAAAATCTGACTTTATCATAAAAAAGCATGTAAATGCCTATGCTATACCTAGGCAAGAAGGAAAAATAAACTTCTGTATTTTCAGATCTCAGTCCTCAAAGTTAGAATCAAGTCTTCTTCATCTTTTTGCCCATCTGTCTAATCAGTTCTAAGCCTAGCCAGCACTGGAATAGAGTCAGTGTCATTATCCCCTTGCTGTAATTGGCAGGGCAGGATGGAGCAGCATGTACAGCCCTCTCCTGGTGTGACAAAGTGTGAAGAGAAACCAAAGCAAGTCAGCCAGATGCCACAGAGACCAAAAGAAGTGTGCTGGGATCCAGAAGATGAGTGAACAAGCTGTTCACTTGAACCACAAAGAAGCTATTTCCTCCCATCTTCTGTTTTCTTTGTTTTTTCCAATGTGTGTTACTTTGCCAGTGGTTTTGTAACTCTGACCAAAGGTGGTCTATTTCAGTGACAGGGACTCTGAAGTATTTCAATTTTCACAAGCTTTCCCCTTTTCCTGTGCTACACAGATGTTACCAGGACACTGTGAGGCATTAACATTGTTTAAATAGCTATATGAGAGATTGAAAGAAGGAAAAGGATGCAATCAAAAATGAATGACCATTGGGAGTTTCTCAGTCTTTTTGGAAAACTTTTTAGTTTCTCTCTTGCTCTGTCTCATGAAGCCTGGATCTCACTATAGCTGTGACTGGGAACTTGTCACACTTGGCCCTTACACCAAAGGAACCAGTCCAAGAAGCAGGAAGAAAGAGTAATTTCTTTTTTCAGTATCTAGTACAGTATAATGCTGACATACGCTAGTACTTTTAAAGTCCAGATTCAGTTGTTCTAGCAGGGTATGGACCAAATCCTCTGGTGTGCTGGAGCTAACTAGGTGTCTTAATGCTTTCTATATAAAATGCTTATGCACCTGTTTAAGAAAATGAAAGATCTGTTCAAATTGGAGAAAGAAAAGCGACCACTGCCCACATTTTTTGACTACTTTTTAGTAGTCCAAAGTACATCATCTACTTTTTTTTCCTTTAATGCCTTATAGTTGACTCAAACCTTTGTAAAATGTGGCTAAATATCAGGGCTATAATAGGCCTTGATCTGTAACAACATTTGGGGTCAATCCAGAACTCTATCTGACCTTCTGTGCCTGTTTTTACCCTCCCACTCCTTCATGCTGACTATGCATTTCAGATTTTCTTTGTCTAGCAGCCTAATCAGCACTGAGAGGTAAAATACCACTACAGAATATGATCAGTTCAGTACTGCTTTCTCCTTTCTCCCCCTTTCCTATTTCTACCTCTACCTGCCTCCCTCCACCCCTTACCTCCCCCCCTCCCCCTTCCCCCCCCCCCCCAAAAAAAAAGGACAAATTGCACTGTAATTTCTTCGATCGTTTTACACAAAACAGTGATTTTCATCTCATCCTTTTTCAGATTTCAGTTCTGGTGTGTAACATGCAGAGCATTTTTTCAGATCTCTGCAGAAGTGTAACATTCCTAAGCACAAGACTTGGCTGATTTAAGCAACTTCAGAGTCCTGAGTACAGAATGCACTATGTTACCACACGTGTTTCTCTAGTATCAAAGGTGAAAGAGAATTTAATATGTTCCAGATGGAGTGGACTTTAGCTAAAGAGGAAAAGTCAGAAGCTTAACCATATGATAGACCTAGAGGCAACTCCAAAGCTGCCAGGAGCTGCCTTTGGACTCTGCCAAGGAGACAGATGCTCATGCCAACAGTGCATACATTGGCATCATTTATATCACATCAGGCTTCATACTGTCATGATGCCACAGTGAAAAGCATTAAGACAGACAGCTAATATTTAGACAAGAGCAATCACTGCGCATATTTAGACCATATACTCAGTAACAGTTTTCATATTATATTTACCCTTTTGCATCTTAGCATTTAAGACATGAAAGCATGTATTGTCTTACTGTATTTAACTCTTATGAAAATTTCACATGTGCATTAATTATGATGACAAACTGACCATTTAATTTTTATGCCAATGGAAAACCTTGCCATAAGTAATGATCAGCTACTTGATACCGATGTGGAAACTAGATAGCTCACTTATAAAGTCACTCCCCACTAGATCCAGTGATTTTTTTCCCCTTCTTAATTTTACAAAATCTGAATATCAAGTATAAAGTGCAAAGCTCCAAAGATCTAAACACACAATACGTATCTAAAAGCTATTTCTCTTTTAGTGGATTCAAACATTGCTCCTAACTTCATTTTCCATCACTTGAAATATCTTTCTGTCCAAAAATAAATGATGCTCTGTATGGCACATCGAACCTAACCTTAGACGTCTAGCAGCATAAAACTGTACAGATGTATTACAGCAAATATCCATATTACATGCTGTGTCATGGCATTTGAACAAGTGCAAAGTCTTGCATGCAATTTTGGACACAAAATGGTTGAAACATGCCTTGTTTAGAGATCACTGTGCTGAGACTTCAGGTTTGATTGTAACGTCTGTTAAAAGTACAGTTTCATGGAATTCTCTGAATATCCCTAATAATCATCTAAATCCAACGTTAGTAAGAAAAAAAAAAAAGTTTTAAAGAAAGCAGGTTGCAAATGGATAGAAACCATTTAGTCAGCACACAGTCAATCAGTGACTTCAGAAAAGAGCACTGCAGTTCTGAAACACATCCACAGTAGGAAGGATTAACTTTGTTCTCTGTGGAGATCCCACCATAAAGTGTGTTAAAATCTACCTCTCCCTTACTGAGAACCTGAATAAACACTGACAATTATTTAACAGCTGTTTAGGCAGCATGTTTACATATCCTGGGGACTGTGCCATCCAAATATTGTGATTTCATTAAGGAGCTTTGCCCTAAAGAAACTCAGGGATTAAGACTTCTGAGAACCCTAGAGCAACATGATAATTTTCCCAGTGCACTACCTGGGCTTCACAAGGGGTTGATCTGTAAGCAAACTTGCAGATGGTTTTCTATCTCAGAAGTCCTCAGCAGTGTGGAAAAACAATATGGTCCTGGGAAAAAATAAAAAACAAAACGCATCATCACTCTGTCAGACACAGCATTAACAACAGCAACAAATAGTTGTGTTTTCTTGTTTGGGGGATTTCTGATGCATTTCCTTAGCTTTTTATTCCAAACCAGCAAGCAAACACTCATTCGAATTACTACATTATTTGTCCATTGGATAAACAGATATCTTTATATCAACATCCTCTTGCTGGATACTAGTACACACTAATATGCCACAGAAAAGTACAGGTTTTCCTCAGCTGCTAAGTTGTTCATCGCTAACAAAAGAAATTACTGAGTCTGACCTACTAGCTTCTTTAAAAGCTATAGCTAAGCATTTCCATTCCACTTATTTCATGGCCAAGCATTCTGCTCTCTAATCCTTGAACCCTGAGACTGTTCTGATACCAATCAAAATATACATTTCCTTCACATAGGCGTATCAGTGAAATCTCTCATGTTAAACTTGAGACCCTCATGATTGTAGCAGCTGAAGACAAGATAAAATATGTTCTGGATTTACTGACATTTGGAAGAGGCAAAGAAGTAGTTTCAAGAATTGATGGAGTCAGATCAGATCATCTTGAGTGAGTAAGGTATGCTGGGCATGAGTATTTCTAACATGAATAGTTCTCTTTTGTCTTCAAACTCAAATTCCACTCACAACCCAGTACACTGCTCATACTATGTTGAAATACATAATGATCTGCTATAAGCAGCCAGACTTTTCCCCATAGCATATTCTTTCTAACATTTTGAATATAAAAATATTGAAACCAAATGTATCTTTTACAAACACTGTAAAGCAAAAACAAAATCTGCTTTTAAATGGTAGACTATCTATATAACAGACATTTGAAAATAATGCTACATTACATTTGCTTACTCCAATTGATTTACGTTCAGTTCCTTTAATGTGACAGAAGCTATAAATGAGTGGATTTAATCTCTAGAGTTTGAATTTTCATTCTTTACAAATACTAAAATCCTTAAAAAACACAGTATCATTTCAAATAGCAATTACCGAAGTCATAGTTTTCTTCATTAAAATTAATATCTACTTTCTGCAGAAAAGCAAAATAAAAAGATTTTGGTGTTTCAGGAATTATGTCTGTCTGATCTCAACCACATCAGTCCGAGGAGAGGTTTGGCCAGTGTTTCAAGGAAAGCAACTTTCTTATGTCTCATATTTAACCCTCTATAACTTATACAGTGTATAAAAAGCACAAGTAATAACACCACTCCTCCTCCTCCCTCCCCCCCCAAAAAAAAAAAAACAAAAAACAAAACACTAAAAACCCTACAACAACAACACAACATGGAAAGCAGAAAGGATGCTATACACAGGAGAATACATATGATATGGAACAAATCACATAGTCATAGAAAAAAAAAATGACATAACTGACATCAATTCAGGTACTTCTGTTTCTTCTTTCTGATTGCAAGGCCAGGAAGACAGTAAATAGAACTGATTTAAATATCAAACAAAAGGATTTTTTCCATTCAGTCTTACATCAATTTAACTACAGTACTAATCTCCATATCAGCTTATATAAGAACAGCTAGAAAAAAAAACATGCATTTAAATGGACAAAAAACAATCACAATGCAATGAATTACAAACACAGGCAGTAATATAAGCACCTGTCAGAAGACGTAAGCTAACATCTCACTAACTACAGAAATTGTCCATAAACACTATTTCCATGCTATACAGTATATTGGCACATACTACTGGCCACGGACAGTATTTAAATAAAAAAAAAAACAAATCTGTGCTGCAGTGTAAGCAGCCTCAGATCTCCTCCACTGGGGCACCTCACAGCATCTAGGAAGGAGCCTGGGCAAGGCTGGACCCTTGGAGCAGGGAACTCCTCACCCGCACGCCGGTGTCTCCAAGTGGGTAGGCAGGGTGCTGAGGAAGCAGATGCTTCTGAGGCTTCCATTTAACACCCAGAGTCCCTGGAGCCACTAAAATAACAGGACCCAAACATGTCACAACACCTGAATTCAATTCAATGTTATAATGATTCCTACTTCCTACATAGATATTCCTACACCATAATGATTCCTCCTTCCACCAGCACGCAGGCCCACTCAGTTCAGTGTCTCTGCTCCACAAAGCGCTGCAAAGGAAGGTCTCACATCCAGCGAAGGCCAGGCCCAGAACACATGCTCCTTTCCTTTCATGTTCTCCCAGCCTCCAACTGCCCTCACAGCAGCTTGCTCAGCTCCATGCTATTTAACAGCCCTCACAGAACATCCTTCTCATGGACTTGACGGTCTCCTCTGATCCACTATGAGCACAGCCAGAGAATGGAAATGACAGTTTGCATAGGTGCTGAGACAGCACGAATATAAAAAATGTAAATATGACTAAATCATTACTGAACTCTGCTCATTATACAAGGAACCAGAGTTAGTAACAGCAGTTCTTGATGGTTGGGAAGTGCTACATTTATGCACATATGCATTGCATTTTGCATTTTACCTAAATAGCCAGGTCCTCACGTAGACCAAGGCTCCTCTGTTCTGGCATACACAAATCCCAGCACCCAGATTTCCCACTCTGCTTTTGTGTAACTGCAATGCAGGATCTCCAAACCACAGGTAACTGTGTGAAGTCTTAGATTGTTATTGACCATGAAGAGGTTTAAACAGCATAACAGTGCACAACTAATATACACAAACAAATTAACACATTTATGAGACCAAAACATTTTGAGGAGACTTCAAAATATGTATTTGAACATAGTATTTACTACGACCATGAATAACTTGTAGCCTGTCACTAGTGACTGGATGGTCTCTACTATTTTACTGAGAAAAGTAAATTACCTAGGTAAGTAGCTAGGAAGTTATAGTTGCTACACTTCTTATATAACAAGATCATTTTTTAGGGATTCCTAGGAAATGGAAAAAGAAAGAAACTAAAGCTGTCTCATCAAAATATGAAACTCCCAGTAGGAGAACAAAGCTTCAACCTCCCAGATATAAAACATATTACACAACATTCACACTTGAACAATTGATAGAATGGTTTTAGAGAGACAGCCATGCAGTCAGCAGAAGAGACAACCTCGGGGGAAAAATGTATATGAAATTTCTATCCCTCCAGGTATTACTCATTTGCTGAAACTGGAGGAGCGAAGATTCAGAGCTTCAGAGCATTAAGAGTACAAAGAAAATGGGATTAGCTCTTATGCCAAAAATTTAAGTTTAGTCTGTATTTCCTTATGAAACTTCAGGGAAAAAAAAAAATCTTTTTTAATAATAGAAAATACCAAGTTATCTTATTTCAATCAAGGTGTTACTGCAGTCAATTAGAAATCATGACTGATCTTTTGCTTTGAAACGTACACATTTTTTCAAATGGGTATTGGCAATTCTTTAGGGCCCAATGCTAAGACAAAAGCTTTTCCATTGCCTCCATAGGTTCTGTATTAGGCCTTTAGTACACTGAAATGAAACAATATCCCAGAACATTTAAGACACGTTGCTGTCTATCAAACAGCCAATTAAAACCACAACACTATTCAGCTTTCTATCATCTCCAGTGAAAAATGGTCCAAGTGGAATGCCAGATGAAATTCATCACTAACTAAACAGGGGAACAAAATATGCCATAGCACTGAACTTACTTTGAGCAACGGGAATATTAACTATGGTCATACATGGAAAATATGCAGCCCTTATTCTACATAAAAACCTCGAAACAACCAAAATGCCTTCTGATGCTGGCTGCTGTAAGAATGATTTTTTTTTTTTTAATTGAGAATAACTAACAGCTAAAGAAATGTAGACAAAATTCCCTTTCACCAAAAAAATAAAATTTCCTTATTCTACTAATTGGAGATACTCCTTTTTCTGTGCTGAGTGCATATATAATCTCCAATTATATCCATAGGAAACTCATCATTCACCATTCATCAAAGAAAATAATGCAAAGTGTTGTAATTACAAAAGGTTGATGCTTTTTCTGCTGGGGCTTCCATATTTTGATGAGACAGACCACTATTCAAGTCATTTGCTTGCTTCTTAGCTAAGGCAGTCACAATTTAGAACTAATTCAGTTTTTTGAATATTTCAGGAGCTCCAGGTAATTGAAAAGCACGCCATTCCAGTTTTTAATTGGGATTGGCAAAGCATTTTATGAATGCAGACCCTAACAAAGTCATCTTAGCATCTGTAATTTTAAGCTAGGCAAATTATGATTTGGAACCTCAACTGCAGAGTCAAAGCTATCCTTGAATGGAGTTACGTATCCAATTGTCACACTGTAAAAACAATCAACAACAGAAATCTTAAAAACAATCAACAACAGAAATCTTAGTATTAACAGTCATTCGATTTTATGAAGTAACATGAGTCAAATTACGATTCAAGAGATTTTTATTTCTATGAGCAATAAGAATCTGAATTGCATACTTATTTTGCAAACAAAAGCAATTATATAGGTGCTATTCAAATTCCTATTGTGAAATAAATTATACGGAACATGCTTGGAGGAGAATAGCATGGTAAATTCATAGGGATCAAAATCCCCACTCAAATGAAATTGTGAAGTTCTCACAAAAGTATATTCAATATTTATCTTCTGTACTTACTGTCACTGTTTTTTTGTAAATTTTACACTTGAAGGGGAATTATTAAATATGTTACAAAGTTTCCCAAGATGGAATTTAAAGAACATTTGTTCTGCTTAAATGCAATTTTCTTAATCCTCAATATAAATTGAGAATTAACACAGCTGCTATGTAAGTGTTTTCTGCTGACAATCAAACAGGAATAAAAATTGAAATGTAGAAATTATTCCTCAACTTCAGATCAGTAGTTTTCAGGAATCATCTTACCTGCTTTTCATGCATCTCTAAATTATACTGCTTTTCAATTCCCATCTAAATTGTAATTTCTAGTCTTTTGTCTGGTGACACTAAATGTCCTCAAAAATAAAAACAGACATTTTCAAAAGCATCCATGTTAAATTATATGTATGAAT